TCAACTTTATATTGTTGATTTAAGCCCAAACTAGTCTAACTCATGTGCACAAAATGTTTTTTTAATTTTAAAATATTTATATATCCATATTTTATTTTATATATTTATCAAGTTTTTTATAAATTCTGTAGCACCCGGAAAGGAGGAAAAAAAAAAAAAAAAAAAAAAAAAAAAAAAAAAAAGGGCCACGTCAGCAGCCACGTCAGCAGGCTCGGTCAGCAGTCCCGGCCAACCGGGGCCTGCCACGTGGCAAGACCGCGTCACTCCGAAAGGAGCCACGTTGGCGATCCGCGTGGGTGCGATCCGACGGTCCAGATCAATCGCGCGATCGGACGGCCCAGATTCAATCGCACGGACGGTCCAGATTCAATCAAAAACGAACGGCCCAGATTAAAACGAAATGAACGGCTGTGATCAAAAGGCAAGGGGTTATAAATAGAACCCCCACACCAGACCACAAACCCTAGCCGCCCGCCGCTCGCTGGAGAAGACGAACCAGAGGCCGACCGCCGCCACCCGCCGCCGCACCGGGGAAATTTCCTACCGCCGATCGAGGTAAATTTCATACCCCCGACTCGTTTTTCTCCGCTGATTCCTCCTATGGCCAAATTGAGGCCGAAATCCCGGCCAAACGGCCGGAATACGCGGCCGAAACCCAGCGGCGCCGCCGCGCCCCTCTCGGTTTTTGCCTCCGACGAGGTCCTTCCCGGCCTCCGTTCGATACAATTTTTATATCACCGTGATCACCATTCTTTTCTCTACAGGTTGACCGAAGCCGAATCACCAAAACACGAACCTCGCCGGAGAGCCGCCGTACCCGAGAGCGCCGCCGCCGGTAAGCTCCGCTTTTCCGTGATTTTTGGCCCCCCGGGGGCCCTAGGGTTGTTTTCTGACAAGGACCAATGCGAGTGTGGCCGAATTCGGCCGAAAACGGCCGAAAACAGCCAACCCGAAGCGACTCGCCGCCGCCAGCGGCGGCGCCGTCGCCGGAGCACGGCGGAGCCGCCGTGCCGGAGTTGCGATTTGGTCCGAAAGGGGCCCTGGGCCTAATTTGGATTTTTTTGGAACACGTGCAGGTACTGTTAGTGTGTTTCAGTTCCCCGGGAAAAATTCAGGGAAAATTAGGGACGGCCTGCAGGCGCACTGTGAATCGTATTCGGATCCCGAAAACAAGTAAGGACCCCTCACCCTATTTCCTATCACGGTATTAAAGTTCAAAATGATAAAACGGTATTTCTTGAATTAACGCATGTGTGAAATTGCTTAAGGTTGCTAATGGAGTCCGAGTCTAGTGTGATTGATGATTTACTGTTATTTGGCCTGTTTTACAGCTTTAAATGCATTATGGGGTTTGATGTGTTCATTTTATAGTTTCGAATGCATATATTACTGTTTTATTAATTATGGGTTGAATGACTGAAGAAGTGATACTGTATGTTGTCTGTTCGGCATGAATTACGATTTGCTTGTTTAAATGTGAATTGATAATGCTTATTGAGGAAAAAGGGAAATGAAACATTGTATAGACTGATAATTGTATGATGGGGTCAGCCTGACTAGATATCCTGGGAGATGGTGGACGGACCGGGTCCGTAGGGAACCCTACCGGGATTGTGGTCTCACATGCCGGACGGGGTATGGGGATCTTATGGTTTTGGCGCCCATACCGGACGGGGTATGGGGACGGCCCGTTTCACCCTCATACCGGACGGGGTATTGAGGTTTATGGTTTTGGCGCCCATACCGGACGGGGTATGGGGACGGCCCTGGAAACTGATTATGAATGTTAAAGGTTAACGGGTAGCGGGACCGCTAGGGACCCCCATGG